CTCAGCTACTCGGGATGCTGAGGCAGGAGAATTGCTTGAACCTGGGAGGCGGAGGTTGCGGTGAGCTGAGATTGCGCCATTGCACTCTAGCCTGGGCAACAAGAGGGAAACTCTATCTCAAAAAAAGAAAAAAAAAAAAGAAAAAGGAAGTATCAAATATAGTCAATGATATGAACAAATAATTGAAAGAAACCAAATAACCACTAAGCATGAAAACATGCTCAACCTCACTAATTGTTAGAGAAATACTTAATAAATCAGGTATTTTCACTTTATCACACTGACAAAGATTAAAAATACTACTCTCTACACCTTCTTTAACATTGGGTAACAGCTCTGTTAAATCTGTGTTGATGGACTGTAAACTATAACAGCTATAACTTTTTTGGAGGGCAATTTAGCAAGTTCCATTAATAATTAAAACACATACATTTTTTGACCAGGCAATTTCATTTCTAGGAGTGTATTCTATAAAATTGCTTGCACAGGTATGCAGGTAATTTATGTATGAGAAGCTTACTAAATTGTTGCTTGTAACTGTGATAAACTGTTAATTACCAAGTCAATCGATAAAGGTAAGTTAAATTTTATTTTAGATCTATTTTCCAAAATACTATGCAGGCCGGGCGTGGTGGCTCACTCCTGTAATCCCAGCACTTTGGGAGGCCGAGGGGGTGGATCACTTGAGCCCAGGAGCTCCTGACCAGCCTGGGCAACATAGTAAAACCCGTCTCTACAAAAAATACAAAAATGAGCTGGGTGTGGTGGCTCACACCTGTAGTTCCAACTACTTAAAAGGCTGAAGTAAGAGGATCCCTTGAGCCCAGGAGGCAGACGTTGCAGTGAGCCAAGATCACACCACTGTACTCCAGCCTGGGCAACAGAGACCGTGTCTCAAAAAAAAAAAAACAAAATTAGTATGCAGTCATTAGTTTAAGAGGATGACATACACACCAATATGGATAGACATTTGCGAGAGTATTAGGTGGAAAATGCTGCAGAACCTAATGGATGTCATAAACATCTAAAAATTTATAAACATACACTTGCAGATTTTTTCTATCTATAACAAATTGATTAACAGTGGTTCCCTCTGGACACTTTTGATTTCTATGTCACATACTGTTATATTGTTCAAATTTTTGATAACAAATATACATAACTTTTGCTGAATGAAAACCTCATCCTGTCTCTAGGCAGGTCTGCTTCATCCTCTAACAAGAAGACAGGCCTTCACCTCTTATGGGTAATTCAATTTGATACAGATTTCAGAGCTAACTGGGAGGACTTCAAGATGTCCAGTCAACCATTCCATAAAAAATCACAAACATCCCCTCCACAACATTCCTGACAAGAGGTTGCTAACTCCTACTAAAACACAGCTTATAATAGGAAGACCAGGCACGGTGGCTCATGCCTGTAATCCCAACACTTTGGGAGGCCAAGGCAGATGGATTGCTTGAGTTCAGGAGAGCGAGACCAGCCTGGGCAACCTAGCGAAACCCTCTCTCCACCAAAAATACAAAAAATTAGCCTGGTGCACGCACCTGTAGCCCCAGTTACTTGGAAAGCTGAGGTGGGAGGATCACCTGAGCCTGAGGAAGTCGAGGCTGCAGTGAGCCAAAATCGCCAAACTGCACTACTGCATTCCAGGATGGGCAATCAGAATAAGACCTTGTCTCAGGAAAAAACAAGGTATCCAACTGGAAAGGAAGAAGTGAAACTATCTCTACTTTCAGATGACCAATTTTACATATAAAAAATCCTTAAAAAATACTTTAAAAACTATTAGAGCTAATAAATTCAACAAAGTTGGAAGATTAACAGAAAACGATCAGTTGAAGTTCTATATATTAGCAACGAATAATTCGAAAAGGAAATTTTAAAACATTCCATTAACAATGGCATCAAAAAGAATAAAATACTTAGGAATAAGTTTAACAAAGGAGGTGCAAGACTTGTACACTGAAAATTACAAAACATTGATGAAAGAGATTAAAGACCCAAATAAATGAAAAGATACCCTGTGTTCATGTACTGGAAGATTAATATTGTTAAGATGGAAATATTTCCCCAAACAATCTAGAGAAATCAATCTAATCCTTATCAAAATTCCAACTGCTTTTGTTTGTAAAATGGAAACGTTGATATTAAAATTAATAAGGAATTGCAAGGGACTCAGAATAGCTGAAAAAATCTTGAAAAAGAAGAACAAAGTTGAGGAACATACTTTCCAATTTCAGAACTTACTACAATGCTACAGTAATCATAACAATGTGGTACCTGCAAAAGAACAGACATATAGATCAACGGAATAAAATTGAGAGTACAAAAATAAACCAACGTAATCTTTGATCAGTTGATTTTTGACAAGAGTGCCATGACCATCCAATGGAAAAAGAAGTCTCTTCAATAAATGATGCTGGGACAACTGGCTATCCATATGCAAAAGAACGAACTTAGATCCTTATCTCGCACCATTTACAAAAACTCAAAATGGACCAAAAATCCAAACGTAAGAGCTAAGACTATAAAACTCTTTTTTTTTTTTTGCAGTCCGGGAGGTGAAAGAGTCTTGCTCTGTCATCAGGCTGGAGTGCAGTAGTGTGATCTTGGCTCACTGCAACCTCTGACTCCCTGGTTCAAGCCTCAGCCTTCCGAGTAGCTAGGATTAGAGGCATGTGCCACCACGCCCAGCTATTTTTGTATTTTTATTAGAGACGGGGTTTCACCATGTTGGCCAGGCTGGTCTCAAACTCCTGACCTTGTGATCCGCCCACCTGGGCATCCCAAAGTGCTGGAATTACAGGCGTGAGCCACCGCACCTGGCCAAGACTATAAAACTCTTCAAAGAAAACACGGGGTAAATCTCTACGACCTTGGATTTGGCAATGGATTCTCAGATATGACACTAAAAGCACAAGCAATAAAAGAAAAAAATAGATATATTGGACTTCATCAAAATTTAAAACTGTTTATTTTTTTAAAATTTTGGACACTACCAGTAAAGAGACAAGACAACCGATAAAATGTGAGGAAATATTTGAAAATCATATATCTGATAATGGTCTATTATCCAGATTATATAAAATACTCTAACAACCCAACAAAAAGACAAAAAATTCAACCAAAAATTGGGCAAAGACTTAAACGAACATTTCTCTAAGGAAAATATACAAATGACCAATAAGCACATGAAAAGATGCCCAACATCATTAGTCATTAGGGAAATACAAATCAACACCACAGTGACATCCACATCCACTAAAGTAGCTATATAAATAACATTTTTTTTAAAAAATGGAGTGAAAGAAGTCTTGATGAGAATGTGGAGGAACGAAAAACCCAATCCACTTTAGGTTAGAATGGAAAATTGCACAGCTTCTGTGGAAAACAGTTCGGCAGTTCCTCAAAACATTAAACACAGAGTTATCACATGACTCAGCAATTCCACTCCTAGGTAGATTTCTTTTCTTATTTTCTAAAGATATGAGTTTAAGTTTCTCAGTGTAAGATGTGCTATCATGTTAGCATATCCTCTCACCAATAAAATTTAGTATTATGTTTACAGGATGTGGCAGTAATGAGAAAACTGCACATTCCCAGTACAACAGGCCTCATTACGTCACAGACACGTTTCCTGTTAAGAATTAACTAGTGAATAACACATCAGTGGTTTTCTAACAGTGCTATGATGAGTCCTAGAGATTTCAGAGGGGGAAGCAGGGGTGTTAGGGTTACCCAACCCTCATATCAAGCAGAGCAGCCTCTTAACTGTTTTCCAGATTGAGTTTTTCCTTAAGATAATGTTTAAAGAAAGGATCCCACACTTAAGGAAAAAGTTCTTACTGAAAATTACTGCAGTGCATATATGTATACTCACTTTCTTCAGAATAGGTTGTAAAAATATTTGCAGATTAGCCAAAATTATATAATTTAAAATATTTCTACATATAAGCCCAGAAATGCCAAGGGGGCTTTCACTCATTTATGAGTTTACTGCACCCCCTGGCTCAAGCAATTCTCCCACCTCAGCCTCCCCAATAGGTGAGATTACAGGTGTGTGCCACCACTCCTGGCTTATGTCTTTCCACCTAAAGTGAATTTACTATAGACAGCATATCGATAAATGAGGGGATTTTTAAAACCAATCTGCCAATCTCTGTCTTCTAATGGAAGAATTTAATCCATTTATATTTAAAGTGATTACTGATAAGGAAGAATTAACTTCTGTCATTTTGCTGTTTGTTTTCTGTATGTCATTCCCCCCACCCCCATTTCATCCATTACTGTTTTTTCTTTTTCTCTCTTTTTTTTTTTTTTTTTTTTTTGAGACAGGGTCTTGCTCTGTCTCCCAGGCTGAAGTGCAATGGCACGATCACAACTCACTGCAGCCTTCACCTCCCAGGCTCAAGGAATCTTCCCACCTCTCAGCTTCCCCAGTAGCTGAGACTACAGGCGCAGGCCACCACGCTCGGCTAATTTCTGTATTTTTTGTAGATACAGGGTTTTGGCATGTTGCCCCGGCTAGTCTTGAACTCCTGAGCTGAAGCCATCTGCTCACCTCAGTCTCCCAAAGTAGTAGGATTACAAACATGAGCCATCACACCGGGCCCTTTTTAAAAAAAACTTAGATTAGTGTAATCTAGATCCTGTAAGATTCATGAGAGGCTTAGTTTTCCCAGTCAAGTGATCTTTGCTCTCTCCAATTGAATAGTTTCTGATGATTATCTCCTTCATGAATCTGTCCCACAATGTTTCGAAGGGAAGACCTATCTTTTCTGCCTATGAACGTAGTCTTATGTTCTATCCTTTTCACCCTCTGAATCACCTGACCCTTAGACACACACACTCCCCAATACACTATTCATCATTCATACATAAAGTTCATTGTTATTGTCTTTCTCTACCTCCATGTGGCCTGGGTTAGGCTGGGCCCTAGAATACTTAGGAAGGGTCTCTTGATGACTGACAAAGAAGTAAGAAGGAAAGTGGCTTACATTGTAGGAGCGTGGGTGCCTCTGTTTCCACTGCACCAGGAGCAGCTGGGCCACCACCAAGGTAGCGATGAGGATGAGGACCATTTCAGCATGCATAGCTTCGTGGCCACGGTGCTTGGCATGCATGCGTGCATGCTCGACCCTGAAAGCCAAACACATGGGGTGAATCAAGTCAGGGATGCTGTAGTGATAAAGGGACAGTGCTTTCCAGGGATATCCCACCAGTACAAAGCTCAGAACACATTCCCTGCTTCATAGCCACAGGGTACCACACAAATTAGGGGCTAAGGACACACACACTAACAGACAGGCATGTGGAGATAAAATACAGGCTCTACGGACCCCAGCAACCAAGCCTAGATATTGGAATTAGAGCTAAGTGGTCTGCTGCCTGCCCCCATGGCAGAAACAGCTGACATCTTTCCTGTAACATGAAGGAGGTCCCAGGAGAAACCCGCATCATTGCCTATTTCAAGCCTATTTCAACCTGACGCTGGAACGAGAAAGTAACCCAAAGAGGTTATAGCCATAAAGTCTCATACTCTCAGTCACTGATATTTATGACAGCAGTAAAGGAGTAACACTGCAAAGGTATGCTGATTCCAGGATTAAAGTCTTGCTTTATTCATTCTATCCTCTCTGCCAGGGTCAGAAATCCTTAAGACTAGTTAAAGCCTAAAAAATCTGGACTGCTTCACCTTTATACTAATCCAACAGTGACTTTACCATCAGTATCCACAGGTAAACAGCCTCCTCAAAGGTTCAAGGAAGTTTAGTAATTGGAGAGTACAGCTGGAAACATTTTATTAATCTAAAGCTGGCATTCTCTGGTCTTAAAGACTGGCAGCAAGTGATTCCCTCGGCCAACACTGGCTAAAAACTTGCTCTAAGAACAGTCACTACTACCACTCTGGGTCACAGTCATCCAAAGGAGAGGCATGAGGAAGGAATTAGAGGCTGGGTGCGGTGGCTCACACCTGTAATCCCAGCACTTTGAGAGGCTGAGGCCGGAGGATCACTTGAGGTCAGGAGTTCGCGATGATCCTGGCCAACATGGCAAAATCCCGTCTCTACCAAAAATACAAAAATTAGCCGGGTGTGGTGGTGCATGCCTGTGATCCCAGCTACTCAGGAGGCTGAGGCAAGAGAATCGCTTGAACCTGGGAGGTGGAGGTTGCAGTCAGCCGAGATTGCAACACTGCACTCCACCCTAGGCAACAGAATGAGACTCCGTCTCAAAAAAAAAAAAAAAAAAAAAAAAAAGAAATAGAAGAGAAGAAATAGAAAATCAAATACATCAGATAGTGTGGGAAAATTTAAATAAATAATAAAATCAAATACAAATGTAACTTGAGTCATAAGCTTTTATACAATTCCCATTACACCAGGATATTTAGGAGGGAGGAAAACGACAACATAAATGGTATCTTCATGGAAGTTCCATGGGCAGTGAAACATTAACAGCAAAAATAACCTGGAAGGATGAATTATAGATAAACAATAAAGCAAATATAACAAAAAGTTAAGTGTAGAACCCAGGTAGTTAAGTATAAAGGTGTTCACTGTACAAGTCTTTCAACTTTTCTACGTAGTTAAAGTTTTTCGTAACAAAATGTAAGGGGGGAAAACTTGGTGGGCAGAGTGGGGAAAAAAAGGCCAGTCGGTAAGCCTCAGCACCTAAGTGTTCATCTGATATAAAACTTTACCCTGGGTGGGAGAATCTGACAGAAAGATAATAGGATTCGGAGTTCGAAACTTAGATTCACACCCACCTATATGGCCATGGCCAATTAACCTCATATCTGTACATCACAATTTCTTCATCTGTCAAAAGGAGTCCATATTTTTTCTGCCTGCCTCAAGAGTTGCTGTGAGAGTAGGCTAAGAGGTTAGAGCACACTTAAAAACACCTAAGGGCTCTGAGGAGTTATAAAGATAGCAAGAGATAAGTTTCTTGTTCTCAGACAACATATACGTGAAAGGATATGCACAAAATGAAGTCAAAGAATGATCTAGAAAAGACCAGAGAAGTCAACCAGTTCAAGTCCCCACCCAATGCAAAAATCATTTTTGCAATCTTTGCTTGAATACTTCCACTGGCTGGGAGCACATGCCTTTTAAGGTAATCTATTTTAGAACCAGCAGTGTCTGGCACATTGTAGGTACATATATATATATTCTTTTTTTTTTGAGAGAGAGTCTCGCTCTGTCATCCAGGCTGGACGAACTGCAGCCTCAAACTGCTGGGTTCAAGGGATCCTTCTACCTTGACCTCCCAAAGTGCTGGGATTACAGGTGGGAGCTACCACACCTGGGCAGGTACTAATATTTGCTTATAAATGAATAAAATCCCAATGCTTTAGGGACAGAAAGCTCATTACCTCTCAATATACCTTGACTATTAAAGACATTTCTGACAATGAGACAAAAAAAATCTATCTTCTTATAGCTTCAGTCCATTAGACCTAATCCTATACTCCATAACAACAAAGGGCATATGGGCTCTTCTTTCCCAATGTTATCCCTTCAAAGATTTATCATGATGTTATTTAAACAAAACAAAACTATCCTTATCCTACCACTATTTTCCTGTGCCCTTTGAGGCTAACAGTTCTAGATCTTTTAATCACTATTCATATCACATGATATGAAGACTATTAATCTGGGTTGTCTTCTACACATGATCCAGTTAAAGATCTTTTTAATAATATGCCATGCTTAGAACAAAATATTTTTGACCTCAGCAGAGCAGACCACAGTGGCACTGCCACCTCTCTTACAGCAGATAGCATATTTCTACAAACATCTTCTAAATTATTCAGAATATTTTGGTAGCTGAGGTACACAACTGGTGCATACTGAGCTTAAAATCACCTAAAATCACACTGGGTTTGTCATGTGAACAGGTATTTTTGCCATTCTACGTTAAATCTAAATAAAATCAATAGGTTTTTTCTATTACATTCTACGGTTGATATCACCTCACTGGTTAGTCACCTTGTGAAGTTCACGGGGCAGGCACTCTGAAACCCTTTTACTGATGAGAAATCATTATAAGATATATGTTGACTCATCCTATTTACAAAACAAGTTAGTTGCAGAGTTGAGAACAGAAGATACATCTCCCATTTTCTTAACCAGAGCTCCCCATCCTGTATCATGGATAATGATGATGATGTTAATGATAATCATCTTCAAAGCAGTTAACACTTACTGGAAGCTTACCACATGCCAGGCACTCTTCTAAGAATTTCACATATATTAATCCTCACAACTCTATGAGGTATAGATATTGTTATGATCCTCATTTTACAAACGGGGCAAAGTAAGGTTGTGAGAAGTAAAGTAACTTGCTCAAAACTCACATAGCTAGTAAATTGTAGAAATGGTATTGAAACCCAGACAGATGATTTGGTCCAATCATCTACTTACACATTCAAGACTAAGAGAGCAACCCAGGTACTTAGAGAGATCCCAAAAGTCCAGTCCTACAGGTCATGAGCCACTGCCTCCTACTGACAGAAAAGCAAAATGGGTAGACGTATCACTCAATTAGCTGGGTTAACCTGCACTTCCTAGACTGCAAGGCCCGAACCGCCACACTTACCTCCATTGCTCCTCTGGAGAGAGGTCTGACATATCAACCTGTAGAAAGACACCACCAGAAAAATCCGTTACTGTCTTAAAACTGTGCCTGCCAATATAAGGTGCTCACACATTTATCGGTATCTTCAAGGAATTAGAGAAGCTTCAAGTCTTAGTATCTCTATGAAGCCTTACCAACCATTCTATTTCACACTGATCTCTCCCTTCTTTAACCACCTAGTTTGGCTTATGTCTATGACTGAATGTGTTGCACGTCTGTGCTAGGCAATAAGGGCAGAAGAGGACAAGAATCCTTAACTCCAAAGATACTCACAGCCTAGTGAGAAAGACAGACATAAACAGAAAACTTATCTATTACATAATAAAGACTAGCTATAGAATAAAGAGGTGCCTTGCCTTTTAATCTTTTAACCCAAACTGGGGTGTTTTAGACTAGGGAAGGCTTTATGGAGGAGATATGGATTATCCAGAAGAAATAAGAGAAATATGTTCTAGGCAAAAGGACTAACATAGACAGGAAGGAATAAAATTGCATAGTACACAAGCAATTGAGTGCAGCTAGAGCAAAAAGTATCAATCAGGATTAGTGGGAGACAGAGTTAAATATAACACCCTATGACTCTAAATGGCCCTATGGTAGCCACTAGGCTACACTGGACCCGGGCAAACTGAACTTAGTTCTTGCCCTGCTGCTATCAACTAATAATATCACTAGCCATCCAACCTCAAAGTTCTGGTTCTATTTGGTAGTCTTATCTTTTGAGTTTGTTTTTCAACCGTGGCACTACTGATATTTTGGGGTGGTTCATTCTCTGTTGAGGAAGGTGTCCTGTACATCACCATAGCATCCCACTAGTTGAAAACCACTGCTCTAGAGTAATACTATATTCTTTGAGTTTAGGGCTCAAGTCTTCTACCTCCTTGCAGTCATACACAAGCATACCCAAGTACTCAGTACATAAGTCACTCAATGCCTTCTTATACTGAATTGAGCTGAAAATGTTCTTTGATCTGGTCTACAGAAGAGAGACAAGGCCTTAGAAATACTCAAATCAATCAACAGCCATTCCTTTAGTACTTAAGATGTTCAAGGTCCTCTTACCCACTGTTCTGATAACTTCAGGAAAGTATCGTAAGTTGAACATTTGAAATAATAACACAGGTAGAACTCCATTCTACTACTGAGTCAAATAAGCACATATTTACCAGGCATCCTTTATGTATGTGTACTGGAAATGCCCATCACTATTGAAGGCAGGCTTTCCAGCTTCTACATCTCCCAGCTAAGTCAAAAAATAAATTTACCAGGACTTTGCCTAACCAATCTGGGTAATGAAGTCAACATCCCTCCTTCCTTTTCCTATCCACACTGCCTCACAGAATTTATTCAGGTGCCCTGACTCAGGTCTTCATCTCCCAGAAGAATAGAGGTCAGATAGTATGAGAGGACACATAGGAGGTACCTGAGCAGGCAATTATGAATCACACTTCTAAATAACAATCCACGCACAGGTTTCAAGCTACATGTCAAAACTCTTTTCTTCTTCTTCTCCAACTTGGACCTGCATCTTACCAAGCCTGTCTATTCATTGTCCCAAGACATGTGGGACCCATTTCTGTCTCTGGGCCTTTGCATACCCTTCCCACTGCTTATAATGCCCTTCCCTATTTTTCATTGTTGTTGTTGTTGTTGGTTATCCACATCCTAGTTATCCTTTAAGAACCTAGCTCCAAATGCAACTTTCCTGATTCTCTAGCCTAGGGAATTTGGTCCTCCGCCTTTCTCCAGCATGGATATTTCTCTTTTTTACTCAAAGTGTGGCCCATGGACTGGCAGTACCAGTATCATCTGGGTGCTTGATAGAAACATAACATCTCAGGTACCACTCCAGACCCACTGAATCACAATCTGCCTTTTAATAAGAACTCTGGGTGATCAATATGTACATTAAATTTGAGAAGTACTGTTCTATGTTAGTCATTCAGTCTCATGTTGTCTTAGACATCCTTTCTAAGTGGTCTAACTGCTTGTCTCTAGCACCAGGATAGGGCAAGCAAGAGACCTGGGGCTCAAAATTTAAGGAAGCACACACTCTCAGGTACCCATCCTGCACTTGCATGACCTTAAGAGTGAATGGCTCTCTAGAGTTTATACCCCAGCACCTTGTTTCCCTCACCCTCGTCCTGGCCCTGTATATGTTTATTTGCTTCCATCCCATGAACCTATTAGTTCCTTCAGAGCCAAAACACACTTTATACTGATTTATGTCTTTCAAGGAGAATAGCACAGAGCTGAGCATATATTAAGCACTCAATGAGTACTTGTGGAATTGAAGAAAATTCTCTTTATTAAGGGAAGCAAGTATGCTGACAAACCAGCACCTCACCTGCAGATGCTTAAATTGTATAGAGTAAACAAACACTTGAAAAATAACTAACAAGCATCTGGGAAAGGAGTATTCATCTGACACCAAGGAAATCATGTTAAAAACTATGTAACAAAACAAAGCAACTACCTGTTCAAGGAAGCAAATCCAATGAGGGGGAAACTAGGAAAATCTGGAATACTGGGCCAGGCATGAAGGTGCCTCTCTTTGACATAATGGACCAAGCATGCTACTATTTATGGCTTAGTTTCTCCATCTAGAAAATAGAGAAATAAGACTTCTGACTTCATTATAGAGCTGTGAATAAAGTATATTTAAGGTGGGCCGGGCGCGGTGGCTCAAGCCTGTAATCCCAGCACTTTGGGAGGCCGAGACGGGCGGATCACGAGGTCAGGAGATCGAGACCATCCTGGCTAACCCGGTGAAACCCCGTCTCTACTAAAAAAATACAAAAAACTAGCCGGGCGAGGTGGCGGGCGCCTGTAGTCCCAGCTACTTAGGAGGCTGAGGCAGGAGAATGGTGGGAACCCGGGAGGCGGAGCTTGCAGTGAGCCGAGATCCGGCCACTGCACTCCAGCCTGGGCGACAGAGCGAGACTCCGTCTCAAAAAAAAAAAAAAGTATATTTAAGGTGATCAAGTGATTTCACTGCCTTTCCTCCTGGGAAAGTGGACATATTTTAAAACTACTAGAAGAGGATAGAGATAATTGAATGTTGGTGAAGCAGAGGACAGCAATGCTGTCAGAGCCTCAGGGAAAGCAGCTCAGAAGGGCAAGCACTAAGTAAGGCTGAGGACTAGACTTGAGGCTTAGAGGATCATTAGCACTTTATGGAGTACTATAAATGTTAAGAGTAAGACATGATCTGGCTTTAGTATTTGCCTCCTGACCAAAAAAGGTTATTTAAGTTACATCCAAACCAGTCTTCTGGCTCAAGTAAAAAAAATAAGGGAAGGTATAAACTATGGCTAAAATTAACCTGTACCATCTGGAAAGACATCTTTACTTGCTCTCTCATTAAGGAGTTTATTCATTTGGGGCCAAGCACTAACCCAGTCTGAAGGCACCTTGTCCAAAGCTCAGGTGGCTAATTAGGTAAGGCTCTCAAGGTAAGGGTACTTACTGATTCATGAGCCCTTATCTAACTCCTAAGACCTACAGCTTCTTAATGCTAGCCAATCGCTCCCAACTGGGATCTCACAAGGTCCCCAGTCATGCCCAGATTTGAAAGACGTTAAACCAAAAATAAATGCTAGGCAGAGAGCAAGAGAAAATTTTGCAAAGATGGAAAATGATGAGAAGTTGACTGCTACATTTTTTTTAGGTGCAGAAGACTCAGCGATTCACTAATGTATGCCCACAAACAGGTCTCCTGTCCCCCCAAAATATCATAAACTCTATGATCTCTGCATCTGTAGGCAGGCTGCTCATTTTGTTCCTTAAGGCCCTTTCTTTAACCAAACCACATTCTGCCTTACTGCAAAACTCTGGCCAAATCCTTCTGGTCTCTAGAAGGCTCTTTAGACAGACCACATTTATTGAAGAAACATCTTCTACTGCCTTGCTAAGTATGGTCTACAGCCTAGCACCAAGAGTACCCTGAGAGCTTGTTAAGAAACAGAAAATCGCAGACTCCATCTCAGACCTCCTGAGTCAGAATCTGAATTTTAATAAAATACTGAAGTAATTCATATGTACATTAAAGTTTGAGAAGCACTGCTACTACATCCCAGCACTCACATTCAAAAATTGCATCTACAGCCATATGCACCTATACACTTGACTCCTTATTTAACAACTTTACAGAGATCTAACTCACATACCACAAAATTCATCCATTTAAAGTGTGCTACTCTGAGTTTGGGCATGGTGGCTCATGCCTGTAATCCCAGCACTTTGGGAGTCTGAGGCAGAGGATCTCTTGAGGCCAGGAATTTGAGACCAGCCCGAGCAACACAGCGAGAACCCATCTCCACAAAAAATAAATAAATAAATTAGCCAGGCGTGGTGGCATGTGCCTGTAGTCCCAGCTACTTGGGAGGCTAAGGCAGGAGGATTGCTTAAGCCCAGGAGTTTGAGGCTGCAGTGAGCCCTGATCACAGCAATGCACTCCAGTCTGGGTGACAGCGCAAGACCCTATCTCTAAAAAAATAAATAAAATGTACTATTCTGTACAAAATCTCAGACAAGAGGAATATTTTTTTTCTTTGAGTTCTATTGTACAGCATGGGTAATACTGTTCATAACAGAATATTGTACATTTCAAAATTGCTGAGAGTGAATTTTTAAGTGTAGTCACCACAAAAAATGTTAAGTATTTGAGGTGATCGATATGTTACTAGCTTGATTTAATTATTCCACATTGTATTTATAATTTTTTTTTTTTTTTTTCCCGAGACAAGAGTCTCGCTCTATTGACCCTGCTAGAGTACAGCGGCGCGATCTCAGCTCAGTGCAACCTCTGCCTTCCAGGCTCAAGTGATTCTCTCGCCTCAGCCTCCTGAGTAGCTGGAATTACAGGTATATGCCACCACACCCAGCTAATTTTTGTATTTTTAGTAGAGACAGGGTTTCACCATGTTGGCCAGGCTGGTCTTAAACTTCTGACCTCAAGTGATCTGCCCGCCTCAGCCTCCCAAAGTGCTGGGATTAC